CCTCCATCACTCCTTCTTCCTCCCACTCTTCTTCAATCTCATGTGGAAAAAAGGGGCTTTTCTTTACAGGAGGAAACTTTGGTAGTACCAATGGGCGATACCGGGGTGGTGATTCATCCTTTATGGTTGAATTTGCCAACCTTGTATGGGCCAGGATATATTCTTGGCATCTCTCTCGGGGGCGAGGTTCCCTCCTCAGCTTCTTTCTCCCCCCCATAAGCTTCCTGGCTCTCTAAATCCTTCTTTGATTTTCTTCTCACTTGTTCGTTACAGTAGTTGCTCGCCTGGCTGCCCTGCCATAATTCTTCCTGCATTTCACTCCCCTCATTAAGCAACAACTCGACCCCTTCCGTGGGGTTCTGAAGCACCTGATCAACGAGTTGCCACAGCTTCAGCACTTCTATCGGTTCCCCAGCCTCGCGCATTTTCCGTCCCACCTGCCTCCACTGCTGTGGAAACCAGGGGGACGTCTCTACGATTGCTCTTACGAATGCATGAATTTTCCTCCCCCCTCGTTTCCCTTGCTTAGAGGAAAAGCTGCGACGAGGTGGGGAGTAGGAAGAGAGAGAGAGAGAAACCATATTTAGCCCATAGATGATCTTTAGGGAGAAACAGAGGATGGTGCCCAGCAGGAGGAAGAGGTAGCCAGTGGGCAAAGAGTAGCCAAAGAACTCCATTGTCTGTACCGTCTGTGACATGTTGGAGCAGTGAGCGTAATGGAAGGCTGAGTCTCCCAGACGTTCCCAGTTAATACCTCCTTCCTAGCTTCTAATTTTCTTCCCCCGCGGCTTTTTTCCTAGGTTCTGACTAGCTTTTCACCGGCACTCTTTCCGTCCGGCCTTCCCCTAGGCTCTTTGCTAGTCTCTCTCTCCAGTAATTTCCCACTTCTTCCCGGTCTTTCCCTCCTAGGTTTCCTATCCGAGTCACGGCACCACTTGCTGCTCCTCCCCACGCGGAGGAGCCGCACCGGACCGGGCGCTTGTTGTTCCCCTTTTTTTACAAGTCCTTTCTATAGTAAAGTAAGAATAAGTAAACAGCAAACTCCCAAAGCAAGAATGAGTAGAGAGAAATGAGAAAGAACGAAGTAACGAACTTCCCCGCGAACTCTCCAACGCACTCTCCAACCAACCCACACCACCATGCCGTCTCTCTCCTCCTATATAGTCCTCTCCACCAATCCCAACTCGGCTGCCCATACGCCGAGCACGCCGCTCTCCTCCAATCAGGAGCAGCTCCTGCAGCTTGTCAGGTTGGTGAGAGGCAGCTGGGTAGAAGCTGTTTACTTCTCTCCCAGCGCCATATTGTGGGAGAGCAGATGCATAGAATAAATCTTAATTCCAGTAACAGTATAGTCCGAATTGCTCCCCACAGTTAATGACAATTAAGAAGATGTTGAAGAAATGTTTTATAGTGGAAGAGACTTGGAAAGCGTAGGACAAATCCAGTTCATGAATCATTTTACTATAAAAGAAAATGAGAAATTGGCAAAACTTTAAATGGAGTCCAAGAATTAGTTGTGGTAATGCATCAGGGTTAGTTTCTGATTTTAATCTGATTGTGAAGGAGAATTCTTGTCTGTAGGAAATACACACTGAAGTATTTATGGGTAACTGGATATTCTGTTGGCAATTTACTTTTATGTCAGGGCAAAAAATATTTGTATTCTACTGCACTTGGAAATTTTCTGTAACTTGGAGACTGTTCCTGCCCAAAAGTTAAAAACCAACTACCTCTGCTCAGGGATTGACTTCTTCTTCTGTTGGTGGTTTTCAGGTGGCCAGTAGTTAAAGGGAGAAACATTTTGTATTGCTGTACAAATGCTATTGAGAGGAGCTTCTGTAATCAGTCCTGTTTTGTGAATTATATATGGAAATGCAGGTACTCAGAAAGTTTACATACAAAAATGTACACTTTGGCTATATAGCTATCTTGTGTATGTGTTTTGATCTTATTGATAATTAGATTTTGAAGGTAGCAGTTTGTACCTTTCAGTGTTCCATATTTTTAATTTCTTGTTTCACATATTATAGATAAAGGACATAGTTAAATATCTTACAATGGCAATTAAGTTTACTATCATTTTAACTAGTTACTGGCAATCATTATAACACTGCTGTGAGTGGTACTACAGCGCCACCTGTATATTGAGCATGGTGGGTGTTGACTGTTTGAAGTTTCTTAACTTCAGAATGCATTTTTATCTTTTGTAAGACAGGGTTAAGAGTTCTTTTTTCTTATGACATTGTGAGGATTATATGTGGTAATGCATGTAAAGTGCTTAAAACAGTACCTGGATTATAGGTTCTTAATAAATGTTACTCATATGCAATTATAATTACAATTATTTTCTTTTGTTATTTGCATTGTTTCATTTAATCCTCACAATTAGCCCTTGAAGTCAGTATTATTTGCTTTATTTTACATGTGAGAAAATGAAAGTTCTGAGAGGATTAGTAATTTCTCTAAGATCATAAACCTAGTCAATGGTGACAGAACCAGGATTTCAAACTGTGTTTGTCTAACTTCAAAGGCCATACTTAAACTACATTGGTTCTGTGTAATGTTTCTTTCTCCTCTCTTTTACCAAACTTAGAAATAAACAATTAAAAATTTTAGTACATTATATTCCAGCCTGTTTACTGAAAATGAAACATTCAATTTATGTGCAAAATACAGCAGTCACTGTGCTTTGTTTAAAATGTATAAAACTGTTAGAAGTATAGAAAAAATCATACACTTAACTGTTAAAAAGAGAACCATCTGAATCTTTCCTTACTGAAAGAGCAGCTATTTAAAAGTATAAGATAATCTCTCACCAGTTATCTTAATTAATATTAATTTCATTAAGAATTAATAAAAGTGATATTTAAATCTTTTTTTTTTTTTTTTATCTTTTATTTAATGAATATAAATTTCCAAAGTACGACTCATGGGTTACAATGGCTTCCCCCCCCATACCGTCCCTCCCACCAACAACCCTCCCCTTTCCCACTCCCTCTCCCCTTCCATTCACATCAAGATTCATTTTTGATTATCTTAATATACAGAAGATCAGCTTAGTATACCTTAAGTAAGTATTTCAACAGTTTGCTCCCACACAGAAACATAAAGTGAAAAATAATTATTTAAATCTTTTAAAGCAAAACTAGTATTTGGTTTAGCTCAGGTAAAAAAATTTGTTCTGAAAACCACCTGAAAGATAACTTCTTGGTGGTTTGAGATGGTGTTGATCATATTTGTCTCTTGAAGCTTTTTAGCTTTTGTGGTATTGCATCGCCCTGGTTCTCCTTTGACTTTTCCAGCTGTATATATAATTTCCTGAGCAGATTCTTAAACCTGACCTATGATCCTAAACTTCTTCCTCCTTGGTGTTTGTTCTCTGTATCTATCTTTAATCTTTTGAAAAAGGACATTACCCTGTCTCCAATTTCAATTTTGTTTATGACTTTCCAGTGTCTTAACTGTAGCAAAATCGAGTATTTATTTTCAAATATCTTTGAAGGGTGAACCAACAGCAAAAGGAATACCTTTCTCTCTGTCTCTCTCTCTCTCACTGTCCACTCTGCCTGTCAAAAAAAAAAAAAAAAAAAAAGTAAATCTAGGATATATAAAAACTTACTGTCTTTCCACCAGGGCCTTCTCGAAGTATGGGTGAAGGTGAGTTGTGGGAAGGTTTCTCCTCCTCTTTTATTTCTATCAACAATAGAGATAAATTGTATCTCTGGAGATAATCTCTTAGCTTTTCATCTTTCTTTAAGTGAGTAATGTTTGTTAGATTTACTTCATTGTTCTACCAGGACCAGAATCTTAGTATCCAATACCTACTTTTTGCAGCTGCCTGGATTGTCTCCCTTTATGTTGGTGCTGCACTCCTTTTGATGGCCACATTTATCATAATGCTTCTTTGACTGAGTATCCACAGTGGCCTATGTATCTTTTACTTGTTTCTTAGGATCCATAATTATGTGTCCAGTTTACTTATACAAACATATCCCTTCAAGAGAAGTAGGGATGGAACTGTGATTATACCAGTGCCTTCACTTCCTCTGCCAAGGAGACAGTTTCTCTTTCTATATCTTTTATATCTTTTTCTTCCCTGTAACCAAGTATGCCCCCCTCTCTTTTTTTCTTCCTTTCTTGAGCAAGTCCTACCCAGCTTTTAAGTCTTAGTTCAAACCTTGACCCACTCTTCTGCATGGTTTCTACATTCTTAGTGCCTCTGAAATTTGTAATTCACTAGAGTTTGTAATTCACTATTTAGAGCTTGGAATTATATACATGTTGTATTGTTCTGTGTTCATCTTACCTCATTAATGGTATTAAACAGTTTTGTAGCAGGGAAATTGAGTTTTTTACTACTCTTATGTTACCTGCAGCATTGGCCCATACTGGGTACTCTGTAGCACTTTCTGATTAATCATAAAGATCATTTGCTCTGTGCTTCCCTGGCATATAAACAAACAGTGGGGACTTTATTTTAACATTCAAGAGATCTTTAATTTTTAGGGTAGAGGAAGGGAAGAGAGACGGGTAAAAAAATTGTTTTTGGTTGCTGAAAATATTCCAGAGGATATAAGTAAGAATTTAGCAAAGCTTAAAAGTCTATTTTCGCTAACAACTAAATGGAACATATAATTTTTTGGATGTGAACGTTTTTATAAACCTTGTTGGATTTAAGTGAAATTGAGAGTAAATCTATTCAATTATGTGTCCCATATTAATTCATATATATGTATGTATATACACATAAAAAACCTAACTTAACTCTTTCCTATTGAAAATGAGGAATTTCAAAAACTACATTGTCTAAGTATTTCAACTAAAATCTATCTTTTTATGAATAGTTACTGAAATGTTAGAACATTATTTAACAACTACTTATAAATAAATGTCCAAGAATGATTTATTTACACAGAAGATGTTTGGCATGCTAATAAAATTGATATTTAAGTGACTGAAATACTGCTAACATATTTTATTGTCATTTTTTTGGGGGCTAGCCGTTTAAAGATCGCTGTGAATGGTTCTATGAACATTTGCATTCAGGACAACCAGATTCAGACATGGTACACAGGCCAGTAAATGAAAATGATATCCTGCTGGTTCACAGAGGTATGTTTAACAAAGAAGCAGAGGTATGCATGAGACACAAAATACTTGTTATTGTAAATCTTAATATTTAAAATTAACCAGCACTACATATTTAGATTCTATTTTTAGGAGTAGCTGTGAAGTTGTGTCAAAAGCAAATTGTGCAAAGCTAAAGCAAGGGATTGCTGTACGGTTCCATGGAGAAGAAGGCATGGTGGGTATAAAAATAAGTGATGTAGAAATAAAACACAGAAATGCAGTTAAATAAAGTTTAATATTTATTTTATAAGGAAAGAAATTTAATCTGATTTTTATTATTTAGAGAAGTTTTCCCAATATAATATATTTCTGTTGATGCATAATTTTATTTTCTTGAACTCAGGGTCAAGGTGTTGTGCGTGAGTGGTTTGATATTCTGTCTAATGAAATAGTCAATCCCGATTATGCATTGTTTACCCAGTCAGCTGATGGTAAGTTGTATGGTCCAGATGACTTCTTCTGTGATTTGTCACATATTTTCAAACCATTTCAGTGCATTTTATTTTTTCTTTCCACAGTAGCCCTCTGCACACTAGGTGGATATTTTCATTTCTTAGAAGAGAAAACTGAAATTCTGAGTGTTAGTCTACATTCACACGGTTAATGAGTGGTGGAAGGACTCAGTCTAGCATTCTTTTGTCTAAACAATTGGTTCCCTGTGCTTCTCTTGGGGATTTTACTGGTCCACAGGAAGTTCTCAATAGTCCTTTGAAATCTGTTCCATTAAAGGCTTGTCCATTAGTCTAATTTTTGGAGTTTGAAGTTTCCTTTCATAAAACACTGATGCTAGTACATGAACTTAAAAAATAGAAGTCCTAATTTGGAAAAAATAAAAATTTGCTGGCTCTGTTTGAGTTTTCAAGTCTTAAAGTTTATTGTTCTTAAAATGCAATCTGAAAAGCTTGATACTCAATCTTAACTCATAAACTTTTTATGAATTCTAAATTTATTTTCAGTTCTTTTAAGACAAGAAGACCTGGCAACTAACTTCTTTAGTTAAGTAATACAGATAAACAACTCTTTATTAAGATGGTGCTTGTAACCTGTAGAATTATCATTTGATATTGTAGACTAAATGGAAATGGCTACCAGCTCATTTGTATGAGGTATTTTTGAGAGCTCTCTAACTTAGTGAAGGTGGAATTTCATTTTTCAAATGCTTTGCACAATTGCTTGTTTTTCTTTCCTTCAGTGTTTACATTCTTTTGTAAGGAGAGAATACCTCCCTAATTGTAGCTTCTGATCCTTTCCACCCGAACTAGCAGCAAGCTCCTGTTTAATAAGAAGGGTGACTTCAGGGAGGGCAAGCAGGGGTGGCTGTAGTGTAGGCAGGGAGCTGCAGGCATGTGCCCGTGTCACAGGTTCCTTGGACATACTTGAGCATTTGAAATTACTTAGGGATGTGGGACTGCCTGTTTTAACTGTAAACTTTATTTGCTCTGAAGTGAATCTAGTGTCTGTGATTTTCTGAGAAATTCAGTGAATCATTGAGTTTAATTATTTAGGCTTAATCTTTGAAGCTAGATTTAACATTATATTTTAGCCTCACTTTCTTATCTTTGTCGTCCCTTATTCTGAGTCTATTTCGTTCCATACTTGAAAAATAGATTTAGTATGGAATCATTAGTGGAAATACTTCCTCAACACTATACTTTTATAGCAGGGTGTATATTGAAGCATGTAAATCTAAACATTTTGATTTCTTTTTGTAAGCTATAAGATACTTTCTTTGGAATCAATATATTATTAATAAATTAAAATAAAGGGGAAATACTTCCTTATTGTGTGTTTAATTAACATGTAGAGAACTACATTTAGGAATTCTTAAAATGAGAAATGTTTATGTAGACCTAATGTCTGTAATATTTTTTAAAACATTTATTTATTTGAAAGGTAGAGTTACAGAGACAGGTGGGAAACAGAAAAAGAGATATATTCCATCTGCTGGTTCATTTCCCAAATTGCTGCAATGGTCAGAGGTAGGCCAGGCAAAAAAGCAGGAGCCTGGAACTCCATTTTAGTCTCCTACATAGGTGCAGGGGATCAAGCACTTGGATCATCTTCTGCTGCTTTCCCAGGTGCATTATCAAGGAGTTGGATCGGAAGTGGAGCAGCCAGAACTTGAACCATCACCAGTATTGTATGCCAGTATTGCAGGTGGTGGCTTAACCTACTTACCATAAAGCCAGCCCCTGTAAAAATTTCTGAAACCAAACTTGTTTTCTGATCCAATTAAAATGCTTACTAAAGTAGTATAGAATGGTGGTTAAGAATTTAGCCTTTGGGATTATACTAGGTGTGAATCCTGGCTCTACCCCTTTTTGGTATGATCTCAGGCCAGTGAACTTAACCTTTCTGACCACTGGTTTCTTCACTTGAAAGTGGTAATAATCTATGTTTTGTAATGTGAAGAGTGATCAATTAGTTGATATGTGAAAATGTGTAGCTCACTGCCTGTTATGTAGAAAGCATGAATTAGAAGATGCTGTTATTATTCTATGAAAATGATATTTTTCTCTGCAGTAGAATTTTTCTGAAGTCATGAAAATAGGGCTGGTCACTACTATGTTTATTTTGAACTTAAAATTTAACATAAACTTAATCTGTTTTAACTAGTTTTCAAGTTAAAAACTATTTTTTTGAAAAAGTTTTCTCCTCCTTTATTTCATTTTTATCCTTATTCTTTGTAAGAGCTAAGATTCTCAGAAAGTACTTAGATAGACAAGGAATTATACACAGAGCTAAGGAAGGAAAGTAGCATCATTCAGCCATCTTTACTGCTTCATCTATAACCTTAAGCATTCTAAATTGTAACAGGCAAAAAATACTTGTGATTATTCTCAGGATGTTATATTTTTAGAATTATGAGTATATTTGTATTTTAAGTCTTTCTCATTTTGAAAATATTTGCTTTGGCTTTTAATACCTAGTTTTACCTTATGACTGGGAATTATTCTCAAAAGGTTTTTAAGAATGAGGAATTCCAGGTGGCTTATTTATGTCATTCATCCACAAATTTCCAAATTTGTACCATGTATCTAAGTAAACTGGTCATGGCAGTATAATCCACTGTCAACACTGTTAAAAACCAATGAAATGTAAAGTAGATTAGGGTCAAAATATGTATTCCAAATGAGCAAACCTTTTACTTCCTAATACTTTTCCACATTTTCTTTCTTCTTCTTTAATGCTCAGTTGCCTATAGTGGAAATACATAGCATGAGCTCATTAAATGTTGGATAAATCATTACCTGTTGGATGAATGAGTGAATTTTTGTTAGTGGTCATGCCAGAAAAATAAGGAAGGAGAATTGTTGAAAGTTAAGGTATTGGTGGCCGGCGCCGCGACTCACTAGGCTAATCCTCCGCCTTGTGGCGCCGGCACACCGGGGACTAGAACCTGTCCCAGTTGCCCCTCTTCCAGGCCAGCTCTCTGCTGTGGCCAGGGAGTGCAGTGGAGGATGGCCCAAGTGCTTGGGCCCTGCACCCCATGGGAGACCAGGATAAGTACCTGGCTCCTGCCACTGGATCAGCACGGTGCGCCGGCCATAGCGCGGCGGCCGTTGGAGGGTGAACCAACGGCAAAGGAAGACCTTTCTCTCTGTCTCTCTCTCTCACTGTCCACTCTGCCTGTCAAAAAAAAAAAAAAAAAAAAAAAAAAAAGAAAAGAAAAAAGAAAGAAAGAAAGAAAGTTAAGGTATTGGCATTAGGTTTTTCTATTGCACTCCATGTTTTTGGAAGACTTTTTTTTTTATTATAGTAAAACATATAACATAAAATGTACCATTTTGACAATTTATAAATGTGTGGCATTAAGTACATTCATGTTGCTGTGCAACCATCACTACTGTCTATTTCCAGAACTTTTTAATTTCCCCAAGCAGAAACTCTGTCTCTATTAAATAGTAACTTCACATTGGCTTTCCATTGGCTCAGGTAATTACTAATCTACTTTCTGTCTCTGTAAATTTGCCTATTCAAGGTATTTCATAAAAGTGCAATCATATTCCATTGCACTAAATCTTTATAGTAATCTCTAACAGTTACCCTTGCCATTGTTATTTTCACCTCTTGGTAGTTGTTTAAATTTGCTTATTTACAGTGAGGAAGAATTGATTGACTTGTGGATTTGGGTGATTTCTGATCATTGTTAGCAAACATCAAGCTTACTGACTAGATCTATCATCTAAGAGCATTTGTACATTTTAATTTTTAGTTATTTCCCCAGTATTCTGTTCTTTAAGAAGCAAAAACTAGTGTATACCTACTGAGACAATGTTTGCCCTACTTCACAGCCTACTAGTTACTGCCACACTGCCTAGGAAAAAGTGTAATCTGTTTATATATGCGTCATCTTTTACTGTATTATTTCTAAGATCTCTCTGATGTTCTTCTAACTACTTTTAAACAAAGTACTCTAAATTTTTCTCCCTGCACCTTAGACTTACTCTGATAAATATGTATGAGTTAATGATTATCTTCTATCTTCAAATTCTGCTGTCTGCTATATATTCCATGAAGAACTTTACTGTAGAAGTTGATCTAAAACTTAAACTAAGCTTTTCTAAAGTTATATATGAATTGATATTAGCACTCATATTATCTCTTTTCTGCAAGTAGGTTCTTAAGAATAAATTTTACTCTATTTGTTTCAATAGGAACCACCTTTCAGCCTAATAGCAACTCCTACGTAAATCCAGATCACTTGAACTATTTCAGGTTTGCTGGACAAATCTTGGGATTGGCTTTGAACCATAGGCAGCTGGTCAATATTTACTTTACACGATCATTCTACAAGCATATTCTTGGTATGGCTATACTATTATTTCAATAGACATTTCTTTATATTGCTTTTCTTTATAGTCTTTAGGGAAAGCAAAGGTTATAACCTTGAATAGCTATTTCAAGGAAAGATTACATTGTTTTAGTAAAAACGAGGAAGAAAAGAATAATTAATTTAACACACTTTCCAGATGCAGGAATTGAAAATATGCTGTGAATTGGATTATATTTTGCAGTTTTTCCGAATATCTGTAGAGGGCAGTATTTTACCATTAAACTGATAAGGACTGTCAGAAACATTCAGAATTTAACTGTTGTTTGTCTGCACATTTTAGGTATTCCTGTAAATTACCAAGATGTGGCATCCATTGATCCAGAATATGCCAAAAATTTGCAGTGGATTTTAGATAATGATATTAGTGATCTGGGTCTAGAACTGACTTTCTCTGTTGAGACTGATGTGTTTGGAGCAATGGAAGAGGTGCCTTTAAAACCTGGAGGTGGAAGTATTCTTGTGACACAAAATAACAAAGTGAGTATTTCAGTTTTTACTTTGGTTGCTGTTTGTAACTTGGCCCTGAATTAGCAAAGCTAATTACTCTAACTTCTTTCTGCCACTTGCTAGAGAAACTTTCAGTGTTGTTTTGTAACATAGAAAACATAAATTAACACAATTATCAAATATCAAATTTTGAATTAGATTTCTGTATTATGCTAGCCATGCTAAGGCAGTTCTTAAAGCAGGGTGGAGTGCTATTCAGTTGATTCTATAAATTGGTTTCCTCCATCTTGAAAAATTTTGTTAGAATTATAAGCTTAAATCAAGATAATATTTGTAATAATCACTATTTCATCTTTAAGAAGTATTTTATTAAAAACAGTTCTGATAGAGAAAAGAAGAAATCTAAATGTTTAAACTTTGTACACACTTTTGGGATCCAGTAAATGTCAGGCTTCTTGATAACGAGCTTTTTTTTAATAATGTCTCCTCTGTATTATTTTAAAATATTGGCATATGTTTTACTTTTCATTGTTAAAAGTTACAATGTTACTTTAGTATTTAGTAGTTTTATGTTTTCATAAATTATGTAGGATATTTGAGATCAGGAAATCTGGTTATGAACTCTAATCCTGCTGCTTATGGGTAGCAACTTCTGGGTGAACGACACTCAAATGTTTTTATTTTCCTATGAATATTATAACTACAAGGCAGCTTCAGAATGAACTCACTATAAAAAACAATATTCAGGGCTGGTGCTGTGGCATAGCAGGTTAACACCCTGGCCTGAAAGCGCTGGCATCCCATATGGGCACCAGTTCAAGACCTGGCTGCTTCCGATCCAGCTCTCTGCTGTGGCCTGGGAAAGCAGTAGAAGATGGCCCAAGTCCTTGTTCCCCTGCACCCATGTGGGAGACCAAGAAGACGCTCCTGGCTTCGGATCAGTGCAGCTCTGGCCATTGTGGCCAATCGGGGAGTGAACCAGCGGATGGAAGATCTCGCTTTCTCTGCCTCTGGCTCTGCCTCTGCTTTTTAAATAAATAAATAAATCTTAAAAAAAATAGACTTAGTTTCATGTATATAAAGGGAATTGAAAACCTAAACCAGGCTACAAAATTTTGCTTTTTGAAATCTAGATACTACTTATACAAAATAATCAAGTTCAATTATTGTAAATAAAATCAACAATTGTTACATATTTATACTTAGAATTCTTTAGTCTGCCCTCTCATTTTTCCCATGAGGACACTGAACCTTAAGAAGTTAATAGCAAAGATGGAGCCAATATCATGATCTCCTAATTTCAAATCTAATGGTCTTAATAGCAAAATTAATGAAATATTAATTAAGTTGAGGAAGAGTTTACTTGATTTTTAAGCAAATGAAATATCTTAATCTCTAATTATAAAATTATTCACCTTGAAGTGCATTTATTTTATTTTAGAGTGGATAGTTAACCTTAATTGAGGACAGTGAAGTTATATGATCTCTATCTCTATGATGCAAGTGATTGCTTTTCATGAGAGAACCATAAACATGTTTCTTATGTACAAATACTATATTTGGTGAGTGAACCTGGCACTCTGATATTTTATATGACAAAGTGGAATCACTCAACAATTGTGTAGTATATAGCCATATTTATACTTGCATCTCCTAGCAGCCCCCCTCCCATTATGACATGATTTTTGCTTAGAGTTTTTTTTTTTAATTTTTACTTGAGAGACAAACGAGACGCAGAGAACTCTTACCTAGTTCACTCTGCAAACGCCTACGATGGCCAGGGCTGGACTAAGGGTAGAACCAGGAGCTGGGAATGTAATCTAGGTATCCCACATGGGTAGTAGGGACTTAAAAATATTTGAGCCATTGCTGCTGCCTCTCAGGATGTGTATTGGTAGGAAGCCAGAATTGGAAATGGAGCTGGGACTTGAACCCAAGCACTCTACTGGGATGTGAGTGTCCCAAGTGACATCTCTCCTGCTGTGCTAAATGCCCACAGTGACATGCAGGTGTCTTATCTGGCATCTTAACTGCTAGATTAAATTCCTGCTTTGCTAGCTTTTTTTAAAATAATGCTTAGGATTGAAAATAGCAGGATCTCAATCATTAATATTTTTCTTTTATTTTTCTGATATAAGCATTTTTTAAACGAAACCTCTTCACTTTCTAATATTACCAGTCATAGCTAAGTATAGCTTTACATCAAACTTTTGATGTTTAAACATTTAATACTTATTTAATAAATAATCTAATTCATTTAAATCTCTAAAGAACTTTAGAAATATACCACATCTTAAATTGATCACTTGTTCTTAAGTTATTATTCAGTTTATAAAATTTTAATTTCAGATTGTCAAGTTCTATTTCTTGCTCATACTGTTTTTTATACATTCTGTCATAAACTTTTTTGTCACTTTAGGGCCAGCATTTTACTTGTCTTTTGGAGTTCAACTTTTAATTTTAAGTGTATTGAACCTTAAATGATTTGCCAAACTTATTAGTGAGAGAGAGCCTATATAAGCTGCTCTCCACATGGGGGAGTCATTTATTCCTAAATTTTATCAAAAGGCTTTGGTAATTACAGAATGAAACCAAATAGATGAAAATACCATTTGTTTAAAATGTAATACATTAAATAAATATGAAGCACTTCAAAAAGTTAGTGAAAAAGTAGAATTAAAAGATCACTATTTTGATGTAAAGAAATTTAAAAATCCATGCACCATTTTCTTAATACTCCCTTTACATGAACTTTTGAGGACTCCTTGTGCAAGTAATATAGCCATATTATTTCTACATTTGAAATTTAGTGTTCTTTTAAATTTAACTTTATGTCAGTGATTTGTTTTAAAATCTTAAAGAATTCTCCGATAATTTCACTTGTGAAAATGACTGAATTACTAGGAGCTGAATTTTCAGAATTCAAATAGTTTTTCATCTCATTTCTCTCTTTTTAAAAAATATTTATTTATTTTATTTGAAAGAGTTACACACAGAGAGGAGAGGCGAGGGCGGGGGGTGGTCTTCCATCCGATGGTTCACTCTCCAGTTGACCACAATGGCTGCAGCTGTGCCGATCCAAAGCCAGGAACAAGTAGCTTCTTCCAAGGCTCCCACATGGGTGCAGGGGCCCAAGGATTTGGGCCATCTTCTACTGCTTTCCCAGGCCGTAGCGAAGAGCTGGATAGGAAGTGGAGCAGCCAGGTCCTGAACTGGCGCCCATATGGGATGGAGGCACTGCAGATGGTGGCTTAACCTACTATGCCACAGCGCCGGCCCCCTCATCTCTTCTCTTTTTTTAGAAAGTCTCTTTTCACTATTCTTGACCCCAAACTGGATGTATAAAACATAAATTCTTGAGTTAGATCCAGCTTTTTTTGACTAGCTCTTCAGTTTTCTATCTTGAATGGTAGCCAAATGGATTTTAAATGTTAGCATAATTTTGCAGTATTAACTATTACATTCGTCTAGACTGAGAGAAAAAATAGGGATGCAATGGGGCAGGCTATCAGGGAATGGAGGAAGTGTCATTGAAATTGAATTATAGACAAGTATTGGTTAGGTAGGATTAGGAAAGGATGAGGAAATGTTCTGAGCTTACAAGAAGGTACAGAAATGACACCAAGCATATGTTTGAGGAAGGGTGACTATCTTTTTTTTTTTTTTTTAAAGGATTTACTTATTTATTTGAAAGGCAGAGTGACGGAGAGGGAGAGATCTCCTATCTACTGGCTCACTCCCCAAATGGCCACAGTGGCCACGGCTGGGCCCAGGCCAAAAGCAAGGAACACATATCTCTATCTGGGTCTTCCATGTGGTTGGCAAAGGCCCAAGTAATTGAGACATCTTTTGCTGCCTTTCCAGGTACATTAGTAGAGAGCTGGGAAGCAGAGTGGCCATTACTTGAACAGGCACTCCCGTAGGGGATACAGGCATTGCAAGCAGCAGTTTAACCTATTGCTGCACAGTGCTGGCCCCTGACTGCTACTTTTGTGGATTGGCTCTGAATGTTAGTGTTGACATCCTCCACTTCATCAACCTCAATACTGTTATATTTATTTTCTAGTGATAATAATAGCTATTCTTCATATATTTAATGCATTTGATTAATGATCTTTGTGATTTTTCTCATTTATTGTAACAACTGTTTGAAATATTGATGTATTTTTGTTTAATGTGAAAATAGCCTCAATGTTATAGAACATTTATTAAGTGCTTTTAATGTGCTAGGCACTGTTTGAAGTCCCTTGTCTGTACTATCTTACACTTGAATTCCCCTTTCCAGGTAAAGCAACTGAAATATACAGGGATTAATAGTTTTTCCCAAGATCACAGTGGTGGAACTGGGATTTGAACTCATGTAGTCGATAAATTTGAAATCTGCTCCTAACTACTACATTGCATTTCTTTTTAAAATTTTTGTTTATTTGAGAGGGAGGGAAGGATGGGGGAAGACAGAGAAAGAGAGAGAAAAGTGTGTGAGAGAGCAAGAGGGCCCATGCATGCATTGCCATCCACTGGTTTACTCCCCAAATGCCCTCAATGGCTGGGAGCTGGGAATGCAATCCAGTTACTTGAGTTACCACTGCTGCCTTTCAGGATGTGTATTAGTGAAAAGCTGGAGGGGCTGGCGCTGTGGCACAGTGGGTTAATGCCCTGGCCTGCAGTGCTGGCATCCCATATGGGCGCTGCTTTTAGTCCTGGCTGCTCCTCTTCCGATCCAGCTCTCTGCTGTGCTTGGGACAGCAGTAGAAGATAGCTCAAGTCCTTGGGCCCCTGCACTCGTGTGGGAGACCCAGAGGAAGCTCCTGGCTCCTGGCTTCGGATCGGTGCAGCTCCGGCCATTGTGGCCAACTGGGGAGTGACCCATTGGATGGAAGACCCCCCGCCCCCGCCTCTCCTCTCTGTGTGTAACTCTGAATTTCAAATAAATAAATAAATCTTAAAAAAAAAAAAAAAGGCTGGAAATCAGGAGCCATAGCCAGGATGTGAACCAAGGCACCCTGATGTGGGATGAGAGTGTTTTAACT